TAGTTTTAGCTCTTACATTTAGGTCTATGATCCATTTTGAGTTAATTTTTGTGTATAGGTGAGGTAGGGCTCCAACTGCATTGTTTTGCATGTGGATATCCAGTTGTCCCAGCACCATTTGTTGAAGAGACAAACTGTTCATCACTTTGAAGTACATAATTATAATTGCATAATTAGTCACCTGGCTCCCGGTTAGACTGTAAGTACCAAGAGGGCAGGAACTGTGCCAATCTTGCTCACCACTGTACCTCCAGCACTCAGTCCAACACCTAGTTCCTAATGAGCAGTCATATATATTGGTTGAACTAAGTAATAATTCTATTATTAATAATGAACACTCAACAACTCTGTAAGTTATAGGTACTATCATTTCCATGTTACTTAGTCTTATAGAAGTTAGGCAACTTGTGCCTTGTTTTGCTGGTTCTCGATTTTTGGCTGAATGTGCTCCCTCTTCACCTGAGAAGAGGGTCAATGAGCTCCTCCAGAGCGAGGACTGCTTCCCCTTCCTCATTTTGTTGCCACCAACACAAATTCAGCTCAGGGCTAGGCACAATGGACAGGCTGGACAGATGAGTGACTGAGGGACAAATGGACAATGCCCTCCATGACCAGGTCCCTTCCTATCTCCAGTCTCTCCTGGCCTCACGCTGTGATCCAGCAACACCAAACAGTATATAATTTCCCCTCCTCACCACACACTCTAGGCTGTTTCTTGCCTCAGTGCTATCGCTTACACTGTTCCCTTTGCCTGGAACGCCTTCTCCTTCTATTTGCTAAGCCCTCCTGATATTTTAAGACTCTAATCTTTTTCACTAGGAAATGTCTGAGAGGTGTCATTTCCTCTAGGACATCTTCTCTGGTCCCCCAGGTTGATTAGTGGTATATCCTGGCCTCCTGTCTCAGCACTGATCACACTGTGTTACCACAGTCTTCCCCAGACTCCTTCACTGAGGGCAGGAATCATGAGTGGTCAGATGTCCCCTGTGCCAAGTATACAACCCAGCATATGACAGGTGCTCAGTAAAATTTTGTCAAATGAACAAATGAATCCTGGAGAGAAAGGGTAGGCAGTCTGCAGTCCAAGATTGACACCATCAGACTTCCTTCTTTTAAAAAGCGCTTGGGCGGATGGAAACAACTGAGTTAAGCACTCAGCAGAGGGCTTTCCTGGTGGCACAGTGGTTAAGAATCTGCCTGCCAATGCAGGGGACATGGGTTCAAGCCCTGGTCCGGGAAGATCCCACATGCCGCAGAGCAACTAAGCCTGTGCGCCACAACTACTGAGCCTATGTTCTAGAGCCCGCGAGCCACAACTACTGAAGCCCGCGCGTCTACAGCCTGTGCTCCGCAACAAGAGAAGCCATCGCAACGAGAAGCCAGCGCACCGCAACAAAGAGTAGCCCCGCTCGCTGCAACCAGAGTAAAGCCTGCGCGCAGCAACAAAGACCCAACGCAGCCAAAAATAAAATAAATTTAAAAAAAAACAACAGAAAAAGCACTCAGCAAAGGCCCAGCTCCCTGCCGGGAGAAGGGAAGTGGGTAGGGGTATAGTCTTTCACCCAAGCTTGTTCGAAAGGAAATGTGATCTCCACTGGGAGAACAGGAGGCCTCACTTCTGCCAGCCCTGACAGCTCCTCACATGGCTCAGCTCGAGGTTGGACAGATGTGCCTTCAGACTGCCCTGTGCCCTAGGTTTCGGGTGAGTGGATCCTGAGTCCAGAAGCCAGGCTTGGGTTTGGGCTAAGCCCAGAAGCAGGGCCACCTGCTCATGCTGCTGACAGGTGGGACAGGGGCCTCAGGACTGGGCTTCCACTCCTGAAGAGCGAGACCTGAACTTGCTAACAAGGTTTAAGTGCCTTGGGGGAGGAAGGAAACAGTTGCCACACAGGGAGAAAGGAGGAGAGGACAATGGGAAGAACAAGGGACCCAGCCTTCCTCTGATATAGCCAATGGGAGTATGGAAATAAGACTCTGGATTGTCTACTTCAGGTTTGCTGAAAAGTCAGTAAAAAGCAGCTTTCCCCAACTTTCACTGTGCTGGAGAAGAGGATAAGACATGTGGGAAACCAGACCTTGTCCCTGCCCTGGGGAGGCACACAATCCAGTGGTTTAAGGTGAAGTCTAGCCCAAACCTTCTTAATATAAAAAAGAGTATGGCGAGTGGCAGAACCTTCCCTGCCCCTTTAGCCAGGCAGGCCCATACCACAAATGATTAGCCAGCTCTACATAAAACAGGTCAACAGTGCCCAAACTTCAGGTGGCTGTCCAGAGCTGTTGGCTTGCTGCGTGAGGATTCCTCATCTGTTCCTGATTTGGGCAGCGTGGGAACCGCACTGGTTTTCCTGTTCATGGGCTGAGTGCCTCCTCAGTCCTGATGTTCAGCCCTGCTTCTCCCACCTGACCTCCAACCTCTCTTCTAGCAAAGGATTACTCTCCTGCCATGGCTAACACGGCTCTTCCTAGATGACCCACGTACCTTCCCAGACCAACAGGCAGGTGTGGGGCAACGGGCAGATCATACTCAGCTGGGAGGAGTCAAGGAAGTCTTCACAAGGGCTCTAGGACTTGAGCTGACGCTGGGAGGCTTTAAGCAGAGGGTAATGAGCACCGTGTACAGAGAGCCATCTGTGTGGACGGCCCACACCTAGAACCTAGGAACTGCAGATTCCAGAGTATCCTTAAAGAGGATGATGAAATTTCCCGCCTCTGAGCAGAAGAGCTTCAGATCGCTGCCCTTCACTATCCAGAGCTCTCCCAAGGCTCTGGGGCCAACGGAAGGTAGGGGGCCATCAAGGCAGAGACACACACAGCATAGAATCCAGAGAGGGCAAGAAGGAAAGGAGGGTAGAGGACAATATTATTACCAGGTCTGAGTTTTATTCCAAATACTGATTTAACCACACATCATACACATGGTGACCCAACCACGTATAAACTATAGTAAATATCTTTTAAAAATTGAGAATGGAATTCTATCCTGGTATCGGCAGGTCTGCTGGGCAGAACTAAAGGCCAGGACACACAGAGGAAGAAATTAGGGGTAGCGTTAAGCACCTGTGCAGAGTCTAGGGCGTAAAAAGGCTAAACAAGGACCTGCAGTAGGAATTCAAGAAAGCTTCCTTCTAGCAAGGGTGGTCGGGCTCTCCCCACTCCTACCTGTAGGTCTAGCTCTCTGAGTGGGAAGAACTGTGATTGGTAGGTTACATGTTTGTTTCCTTGAGACCAGGTGGTGGTGGAGGGGGGAGACTGTCAATTCTGAGGGGCAGGGTCTGTGCCTTGCTCATCTCTGACCCCCTCACGAGGGGTGAAGGGAGATTCTGATTGAATCATCATGACCAAGAGAGATAGGACAAGAGGAGGCAGGAGAAAGGCAGGTTAGAGACTGGTGACACACAGGAAAGTCCCTACAGACCCTTTCCACACAGGCAAGCATGAATGTTGTGAATCACACACACAACATAAATTCAATCACTTCCTGTAATTTTGTGGCAGGGGTTTACCTGCTAATGAGAAAAATGTGTATTTGAAAGAGCTAAATCAATCAACCCTTGGGGGCTCAATGGAACAGGGTAAACTCAGCCTCCCCTAGGTGATGGAAAGGTGGATTCACAACACTGCTGCTCTGTAAATGCACTGCCTATACTGGCTCGCCAGAGGAAACCAGCAGCCTGGCAGCAGTTACCTCAGCAGTCATCAACAGGTGATTAAAGGGTCAGCAAAAGCCTTAAAGGACGGGGCACAGCCACTTTCCGCCCCCTCATGCCATCGTACTGCAGCAGAAGGAAATGAGGCTCATCTGTTTCTGGCCACGCACTGCCTGGAGTTATGAATGGCTCTTATAACAACAAGCTGACATCTGTGCTTGGTTTTAAAGATGCATCATCGCATGTTTATTAAACTATTGCTCCATAATATTTATTTGGCTACGAAACAACTCCCAGCCCATACTTCCAAAAGTGGTTTATTAAAAACTAAGCCTTGAACATTAATACTCAAAAGCACCCTTGAGAATCAATAATAATGCTGCAGATAAAATGCAAGGGAATCAAAGCAGTAAGTCTTGATGGGGGCTGCGACTGCCTTTCAACACTTTCTTGTATGTTCAGGCAACTGGAGTGAGGGAGCGCACCAACGGGTGTGCAGCGCTGGGCGCAGTGACAGCCTCTCCAAACACCTGACTTCCTGTTTAAAATGTGGACATAGTGGCAGGGAAGGGAGTGTGTCCTATGGCCACCTAGCTCTATACAAAAGGCAAAAAAATGGCCAAAGTTAGGCCTAATGCGGGCCACTAGTTTCACCAAGAATGAAGCCTCTGCCCCTGAATAACAGCCCCATACTGATGCCCTATGTCTGAGCATCCGTCCAAGACACAGACTCTGCCCTGCCCTGGGCACCAGGCAGAGGCCCGAGTGAAGACCTGTCCCTGAGCAAGAACAAGTCTCAGATCTAACTGACCAGTGGTTACTAGGGGAACAGCTGAGCCACGGAGGCTAGAAATGCAGTCAGCCCCTGGGCAGGAGCCCAGCATGTGCACCCAGCCCTGCAGGCAGGCTGCTCTGGCAGAAAGGTCTCTTCCAGCTCCCTCTCAAATCTCCAAGCCTCTCCACTGGTGCCCACCTGCACCCCATCCAGGCAACAAGCAATTACAAGTGACCGATCCCACAGAGAAACAAGAACAAACTGGAAGATTCACTGAAGAACCTACAGGATGCAGAGGAACTCCAAACCACATCCTTCAAAGAACAAAACAGCCAAAGGATCCGGGGATGTTTGGGGCCAGAAAAAAGACACAGGGACTGATTCTCTACTTTAAAATATCTAAGGGTTGACCTGGGCCAAAGGAGCCCAAGTGACTCGGTGACTACAAGGAAGTCACAGGGTTCAGTTCCCAGCTCACTGTGAGGATTTCCTCCAAGGCAGAGCCACCGCCAGAGCAAGGGGCCCATCCCACTCAGCCCTCCTGCGCGGGAGAGCAAGGCCTGGGGTATGACACTTACCTGTTGACTTCTTGGACATTGTTGGCTCGAACAGCTTCCACCAGGGCTGCATCTGAAGAGAGAGGGGGCACTGGTCAAATCCCTGGCCAGGACCTACCCCTCAGGGCTGCTTGGAGGGCCCAGTAAGACAGTGGAAATGGAGGCACTTCAGAAACATGGGCTTTAGCAAGTGAAAGGACGCCAAGATATACAAAGAGAAAGCTAGTCATCCCCTGCCTACGTGGTAGCCTCTGTTAACAACTTGTCTTCCACATCTTTCTATTAGAGCCCAAACGCTTCACTCTCATCACAAAGGTGATCCAAATAACGTGTTAGTACCACGTGTGGCCTACAGTAAACACTCAGTGTGTGAACTCCTTCACTCTTCATTAGCTATAAAGCTCTGCAGGTTTATGTGATTATCATTGTTGTTATTAACCATACCCCTACCTTGCCCCACTTTCTCCCCCCACTTCAGTTTCTCAGCCTAGTCTTGAATCTTGATGTCACAGGTCACAAGCCCAGCAAGAGGGACAGGATAGGGAGGAGCAGGCAGGGATGTGGACCCCTCTGAGAGTGGAGACAGCCTCGACCAGGAGTCCAGGCTCCAATACACTCTGCCTGCTATTCACCATGTGCTATGGCAGCCCCTCTCCCTCTCAACCCCAGCTTCCCTGACTATAAAGCAGAGACAGTAATCCCTGCCCTGATGGCCTCACAAGGATGCTAAAGAAATGAAATAATGGCTGAAAAATCTGCAAACACCCAAGTGCCAAGCCCAACAAAGGGAGATCCAAAGCAGAGGGTTCCAATCAATCCTTTAGGAATCACCAGGCCTAGCAGAAAGGCAATGTTAAGTCTGGCCTGGCCTGGGCAGCCTGTAGGCTGTTGGCACCACCTTGTGGCCATAGGAAAAGCTGCCTGGCTCGAAAAAACTCAAAAGTCAGCAGAGGCACAATTCTTTCCTGGGCCGGTGCAACACTTTGAGCCCAGCTGGTCCTGAGCTCCACTGATGGGCACTGGACAGACTCATACCCATCCCTGCCTCAAGGAGCTCTCAGTCCAGCCAAGAGAGTCACCCAGTAAAACATGAGAGGAAGCACTGGAGCCGGGTAGAAGTAGCAGACTCGGGCTCCAGTCCTAACTCTGCCACTTACTTTCTGTATGAGGGGGCTAACTTACCTAACCTCCTGAGCCTCAGTTTCCTCATGTGTACAAAATCCACCTTATCATGCATATGCAAACCAGTCCTGTGGTTCAGACCTATGCATATGCCTCCACTTCACCTCCTGGCCTAGACTGCAGGGCCAGGTCTTCCTTGGTTACCTTCCCCAGTTGTTCTTCCAACACACACCCAGGCATGCTTGGGCAGCCCCTAGCTAGAAGGGAAACAAGCCTTCCTCAGATATTGCTGTATCCACTCTCCCCTCAGTCTTCAAAAAGAAGTGGCCTCTGCAAGGTCACAGAGGGAGTGAGGAATGAGCTGAGATTAGAACCAGGGCCTCCTGGCTCCTAAAGGGCAGTAATGACTGTGCTGCACTGAGGGTCTCAGCTTACAACTCAAAGTAAGGAGACAGGGTAACTGGCAGGTCAGAAAGGTTGAACTGGTCATGGTTTTGGTCATTATCTATTTTGGTGAACAGACCCTAGTCTCTTTGCTAGGGTTCATATGCCACAAAGTCCAATCTGGAGCCTCCCAAAAGCTCTAAGGCAAGACCTTGGACACCTTCCCCCAATCCTTCTAAACATACTGGCCTCGGAACATTCCCTGCTCATCAACTTTCCATTGCCTACAGGACAATTCCAACCTTTCCAAACCCTTGTGCCTGATATCCAGACCCCACTCCATCTGCTCTCACCTCATTCCAAAGACCCCCTGTCCTCCAACCAGGCTGGACACTCTGCTAGCCTCTATACATGCCATGCTGACCTGCGACTACTTTATCTTTGTCCCGGAAACCTCTGCGTAGAATACAAACCATCTCAAGGTACATTTACTAAGTACCTACACTAAATACCAGAGACTATGGTGGACAAACAACGTGAAAGTATTAGGGAAAGGAGCTGGCATCAACCTGAAAATATCAAGATGCACTTGCTGCTCTCATGGAACTCACAATATTCACTCTCCTTTTCATCTTTGCCTTATCCTTCGGAACTCAAGTTCAAATTCCCCATCCTCCAGGAACATCTCCAATCATTCAGGAAGGCTTTCCTGACCCTGCTGGCCTTCTGATCCCTCAACAACACACTGTCAAACCACTCACCAGACCTACAGGTCTAACTGCCTGCACTGTCCCCTTAACTGGCATTGTGTTAAGTTAGGAGTTCTACATTGAGCTCCAAAGTAGGCACACACAGAGTATAAAAATATTGGAAGTAATAGAATCATAAAAATATAATTTAATTTTTAATATTATAAAAATATTGGAAGTAATAGAATCATAGCATGCCCAAGCTAGAAGAGCCCTTAGGGGTTCTATTTCAACACCCTCATTTTGTAGATGAGAAAACAGAGGACCACTGAGGAGGAGCAAAACTCCAAAGTCACAATGGGAGTTAGGGGCAGAATCAAAACAAGATCCCAGGTGTCCTTACTCCCCATCCAAGGCCCTTCCTTTATAGCTGGTCACATCTGTTGAATAAACAAATGAATGTCAAGGGAGTCCCTCCTCTTGGTCCAAAATCTCAGAGCTTGGGATGCATGGAATCTAGGAACACCATGCCTTAGTCTTCTCCCTTGGGGAAAAGCTGAGAACCTGAGTAGCTGGACTCACGTAGGCCAGAAGTCTAGCTCTCTGCCTGCTCTCCCAGTCCCTGCTCGGCTCCATGCACCCAGGGGGGATGCCAACCTGGGTCAGCCAGCCCCCATGGTTGCTCTGGAGCTCTACAGAGCCACTTCCTTGTCTTCCTTCTCCTGCCAACTGCCCCACATAGCAAGATCACCTCACGCCTGAGACCAGGCACAGCAAAACCTCAGGAGTCTCCCTGATGGATACACCCACGCTGCTGAACTCCAAGAGTCAAAATAACAGCACTGTAAGCGTACTGAGAAGTCATCCTTCACTGTATAAATGGGGAAACTGAAGCTAGAGAGCAGCAAGGGGCGAGCAGGGCCAAAGCTGGCATTGAAACCAAGTCTCCTCTTCCTTTCTCAGGCCACCTTAGGGAAGGCAACTTCTCTAAACCATCTAATGGTTGCCCTTAAAACACGCGCGGTTCCTTGGAGACATCTTAAAAGAGGAATTGAACCAGGCGATACGGTAGAGAAAATGCTCCCATTGTACAGATGGACAAAGTGATGCTCAAAGAAGGGAGGCTGACCTATAATAACTGTATTATTATACAATAATAGTTGTAAAATTTGGTAAATTATACAACGCAGAGACACTGAACTCTTCGGCCTGCTCTATGACCTGATGATGTCTAGGTCCTACAAGGACTGAGGCTCCGGTGGTCTAAATCTATATGCAACTCCCACCCTCCAAAGATACGGAGTCAGGACACTCCTCTGGCCTCTCACTTCCACAAACCCATACTGTCCCGATAATCACCCTTGTTGGACGGGCTCTTGCTGTAACAGTGTACCACCAGCACCGTCGCCAGCGCCCACACGCCCATTCCGGCCCTGTTGAGGGCCCCGTTCCAGCTGTCCTGTCCAGGCAGAGTGTCTTCGGGGCTAGGAAGGTGTCCCCACGTGGCGGCTGCGAGGCAGGGGATCTCGGTACCTCCTCTCTGGCGCCCCCCAGTGGCTGCCCCTTCTCTTGTGAGTAAGGTCGGCGATGTTCCAGGGCGCCCCCCGATGGCTGCCCTCAGCCACTGAGGCTCCCCGCGTCCCCCGGTGCTCACACTCCGGTCGGTGGCACTCCCACGGCTCCGGAGAGATGGGGACCTAAACAGCTGGAGGAACAGCCGCGGCGCCGGCGCTGTTCTCCTCAACACCAGGGACCCCAGCATAGTGACAGCTGCTTCGATAACCCCCTGGTGCCGGCCCCTGTACTGGCCACGTCCAACATGGCTGCCGCGGCGCGTTCGAAGACGCCGCGTAGTGGAATTACGCACTACTTCACGGGAGTGGTAGTCCACAGCCCTAGATCTTGACGCAGCGGAGGAAAAAATAAACTACACTTCCCAGAAGGCTCTGGAACTTGCGCCAGAATGACTGTCGGCTTACGGGAGCCCGAGGCATGTTGGGAAATGGAGATAGGGCGGGGGGGCGTGGCAAGAAGGGAAACAACCAAGTAGGGGCGCGGCGATAAAGAGTTAAGGCTGAAAAAAAAAAAGCAATTTCTAACAATTGTAAATTAAACAGGAATCTTCAGCGAAGGCCAATTATGAAACTTATGTTTATTTCTTTTAGCCTATATCTCTTTTCAGCCTGGGACTGCTTTGCAAAAAGATATCTAGGTAACTGGTGCACCTGAAATAGAAATTCCTTTTCTTTTCCTACAGGCTTCCTTTCGGTTGAAAAGCTGACGCCCTAATCTTGCTTGTCTTATTTTCAAAGGGCTTTCACATGGGCTATCTCATCTCATCCTCATGGTAGCTGCATGTGGGAACCTGGGCAAGGACTATAATTCCCGTATACAGGGAAGGAAATTTAGGCTCAAAAGTGAAATGATTTGTCAATAAATCAACAAATAAAGCTCAACTCTTCTGACTCCAAGCCCATCCTCTCCATTAACACCTGCACCCCCAAACTTACCTCTCTTCTCCAGAGTGAACCCACAGATAGGCAAAGGAGGAAGCTCTTCTTTATGCCAGTTCCAGCTCCTGCTCCTGCACTTACTTCACAGTATCAGAGCCTTCCCAGATGACTATTTAAATTAGCAATCTTCCTTCCCCTGTCTTTCTTATCCTGCCTACTTTTTCTTCATAGCACTTACCACCTGACATACTAAATACTTATTTGTTTTGTTTATTGTCTTTCTCCAGTAGACGTGAAACCCACGACACAAGGACTTTATTATTTTTTTCACTTTCACACATCACTAGCACCCAGAACAATGTCTGGAACAAAAAGAGGTACTCAATAAATATTTGTTCAGTGAACGGCTTACTCTCACTTTATTAGTGTGGGGGAATGACTATGAGCTTTAGAGTCCAGGCAGACCTGGATTTCAATTATGACTCTTGTATTTACTACATGTGTGACTTTGGACAAATTTCTTTGCCTCTCTGATATATAATTTCCTCATTTTTATCAAAGATAATAATACCTACCTTCAAGACAATCAATTGTATTAAATGAGATAATATGTAGACCACCACCATTCCTGGCTCACAGTAGGTCTTCAAGAAATGGCAGCTCTTGTATTGCCTGCATTAGGGGTTTATTGGATTCCCTACTCTAAACTTCTTGTGGGCAGAGATGGGGTTTCTCATCTCCCCATCCCTTAGCAAAGGCACTCAGCAAATAGCTGTTGAATGAATGTTTTAAAAGTACAATAGTCAAAGCATTTTGACCTCCCTATTTTAAGAGATCCCCAGGATATCCTGTCTTTTTAGACACTCTATTCACTATAGCAGCTTCACCCTCCCTGTTTTCTTAGAGGACTTCTGACTCCCAACTAGGGTTGGTCACAGCAGGAAGAGCGGTCTCTGAGCTCCCATTACTAGGTGGGTCACAAGATGGAGAGCATCTGAGTGTGCAGAATTCAAACCCCCTGCTGCAGACACTTTCCAGGGCCCTTCAGTATGCTTAGAACTGCATAACTTTCCAAGTACCTATCCATTGATTCTCTCATTTGATTTTCACAAATAACATCTATGAAGGGAAAAAGGCAGTGTTGAATAACTATCAGCATTTGGTAGGGAGTACTGAGAGTGTTAAATGATCAATGTCTGGCTGAGTGAGAAGTAGTGAGGGAGCATGGGGGAATCACCCATTAGAATCAGCCAGGACTCAGTGAATTCTAGATCTTCCAATAACCAATTCAAACCCCCCTAGGTCTCACTGATAACATTTTAAAAGATCTTCAATTCAGGAAGACTTCCTTTTGGTCTGCTCAGAAAGCAAGGATTTATATCAGGTTCTAGTTACCCTACCTGGGCCCCGAGCTTCTAGCTCTTGGGTTGGGGCACAGAGGACTCCAGTTTCATTTAATTTGTAATTAGGTTAGTAGAGATATTGGAGTGGGGTTTAGGAGGAGGTGGAAAGTGAAGGATCAATGCAGTTGCTGGGGTCACCTACTGATGGAGTAGAGTTGGAGACCATTCTATAGGTTTCTAAAGAAAAAACTTTTCCTGAAAAACAACAACACACACACTCATTTTTAAACAAATAATTAAATATATGGTTGATAATGAAAGCTGGATTTTTCACTGTTAGAGAAAGAAGTTATAAGTAAGGAAAGAGAGAAAGCTAAAATGAACCTTGTGGCATTGGATTGGAATTAGGGGTATCAGTATAAACTCATGGTTTTAAAATATATACAAAATAACATAAAATAAAACAAAATATATACAGATAGGGAATTCCCTGGTGGTCCAGTGGTTAGGACTCCGCGCTTTCACTGCTGAGAGTGCAGGTTCGATCCCTGGTCAGGGAACTAAGATCCTGCTAGCTGCACGGCTCGGCCAAAATAAATAAATAAATAAATAAATAAATAAATAAATAAAACATATACAGATACATCAATACAGAAATATAGATATGTAAGTATGTATGGTTTAGTATAGCCCATATATTCCCTCTCTGTGTCTCCTGAGAAGGTCTAGAAGCAATGACACCTTAAACACTGAATACACCATATCACCCAGATCTAAACACTATCCTCCAATAAAAGGAACCAGTTCTCTTTGGAGAAATGGTTATTTTCAGAACTGAGGTAGGGAAAATACAAGATGACCCAGGACTATCTTGTGGGCCAGAAAGTAAGGAAAGAAAAACCAGATACAGGCTTGTCAAAAGAACACAGGAGTCAATGTGAAGGTCCACCCAGGTAATATCTCTTTTGATAAATCAATGTCAAATGATAAGTAATATAATCACAGGAGTGATAGTTCATCATATTCATAGGTTCTTCTTTCTCTCAATGTGTGCACAAGGCATGTACACCCAGAGGTGGGAATCTTAGAGGTCACCTTAGAATTCTGACTACTGTGGTACTCTTCAAAAGTGTCAAGGTCATGGGACTTCCCTGGCGATCTAGTGGTTAAGACTCTGCGCTTCCACTGCAGGGGGCACAAGTTAGATCCCTGGTTGGGGAACTAAGATCCCACATGCCACATGGCACAGCAAAAAAAAAAAAAAAAAAAATGTCAAGGTCATGAAAGATAAGGAAAGACTGAGGAGCTGCTACAGACTGGAAGAGATGAAAGGAAATGAAAACTAAATACCTTGTGTGATCATGGATAGGATCTGGGGACAAAAAAAGGACATTAGTGGGAATACTGGTGAATTTCAAGTAAATTCTATAGTTAGTAATATTGTACAAATGTTGATTTCCTGTTCTTGATCACTATACTGTGGTTATTTAAGATGTTAACATTGAGAAAGTGAGGTGGGGGGTATAAAGAAACTCTTTGTACTATTTTTGCAACCTTTCTGTAAGTCTAAAATTAATTCAAAATAAAATGTTTTTAAGGGAAATGTACTTTAGTCTATTTTCTCCCTCAAATCAGTTGGTAGTTGGGATAGGCAGGGGAAATAAAGAAGAAACTGACACGTATTAAGGGTTTGCTATTCATTTATTAGTCCTTTCAACAAAGTATTTGTTGAGCACCTACTATATGCTGGATACCATGTTAAGTGATTTACTAGAGTCAGCTCCTTGAGGATAGGGTCCATGTCTTACTCATTTATGTATCCCAAGCACTTTGCACAGTGGCTGGCACAGAGAAGGCATGTGTGTTCTTATTTAATTCTGACAATAACTATGAGGTAGGATTTTGCCCCCATTTTTCAGATGGAGAAACAGGTTCAGTGACTTGTCCATGTCATAAACTTGTGAGTAATGGCTCTAGGATGCCAGCCCTGGTCTGTGTGATTCCAAAGCCTCCTTCCACCACATCATGCTGCTCTCCATCTTGGATAGGCATCACTCAGTTCAAAGAGCATTCACTGGTATGAATTCAAACACAAAATTTACATGATTTTTTTGAAGGTAAAATATGTGAGTTCTCAAAGAATCTTCATGCTTGCATGGAAGATGATGGCTAGAGCCCCAGATCCTCTCATGGCATTCCAGTGGAAACCTTTGAAAACAATTTTTTTCTACAAGTTATATGGTCAGTTAATAGAAGCAAAAGATATAATTTTAAAATAAGGTATTCTTCCAAATATCAAGAGTGGCTGATAAGTAGTTCATTTTGGTTAGCCTTCATTACTCAAAGATATTTTAAAGTATATTTAGCACCATACCTAGAGGTTAATGAATAGGGTCTGGAAACAGAATTCACTTCCTGCGGATCCTGCTGGATACTGTCATACCCCTGCCTCAGTGCCCACTCTCCCACAGCTCTTTGGAATAAGTGATATGAATGGATTTTTTAGTAATAATAGAAGCTAAGTTTTATTAACTATTTACTATGTTCCAGCCACTGTGCTAAATAACCTACCTGCATCTATTATTTATATAAATACTCAGATACGTTTCTCCCAGGTTTTGCTGAATATGTTTTTTTCATGTGATCTCTCTAGTCAATGAAGGTACAATACCCCAACGATAACAAATAAACTACATCTGAGAAATCTTGGAGAAACTTACCTAAGCATCTTACAAAAACAGAAGAAGTTAATAGATACTGAATGCTGAGATTTATTCTGAGTCAGTCAGTGCTAATAAACACTTTATATGAGCAAACTCTCTTAATTGCCTGCATTAACCCTATGAGTTAGATACTATTAATATTCCCAGATTTGCCTGACTCAGAGTCCAAACTCTTAGCAATTACACCATTCTGAGGAAGGAAATGTGTGAGCGTGTCTGTGTGTGTGTTTTCTATCTATGTTTGTAGGAGTGTGTGTGAAAAATATTCTGCATTATTTTTTTCTCAAATACAATACGTTGC